AATCCTCGGCTTCGGTTTACATGTATGATCCTAATATAAAATTGAGATGAAATGTATGTGGCACCAAACTATTCGTAACGTGATTGGTTGAATATATCATAAGCATGAAAATATATACAAACTCTATAGTCAAAGCGCGCGCTTGCGCGCGTAAATTTAAATTCTAGTATATATAAAATAATCATTAATATTTCGGCTATCAAATGGAATATATAATTAATGGACCGCAAAAAATCCCGTAGTTGATGAATTATTTAGGTAGAATTCAATGTAGTTAAACTGATAATTTATTTCAACGATTATTTCTTTTCAGAAATCTAAATTTGTTTAAATAAAACCCTAAAAGTCGTCCAAAAATTCTAAAAAAGTCTCTATAAATTCAATTTTCCTCTATCTAGATACATAATTAAGAAATGACCTTGTATCTCGTGAATTATTGAAATTTTTAAGGATATAAACTCATCCTGACATTACACTCATCGAGACCTTTCATTTAAGTACTCACATCAAATTTTCATATATTTTATATATTTATATATATGACATATATGTATATATCAAAAATGCATGTGGGTACTCAAATGAAAGCTCTTAATGAGTGTAACTTCGGGATGAGCTTATATCTTCAAAATTATCAATAATTAAGAATTGGCATTGCTATCATGTCAACTAATGACATTTTTAAAGATATAAGCTCATCCCGATGTTACACTCATCAAGACCTTTCATTTGAATACCCACATAAATTTTTCATATATTTATATATATTATATATATTTATATGTATTATATATATGTATATACGAAAAATATATCAAAAATGCATGTGGGTACTTAAATGAAAGCTCTTGAAGAGTACAACATCAAAATGAGCTTATATCTTTAAAATATATATTATATATATAAATATGTATATATGAAAAATATATCAAAAATGCATGTGGGTATTCAAATGAAAGCTCTTGATAAATGTAACATCAAGATGAGCTTATATCTTTAAAAACTTCAATATTTAAAAAAGTACCGTGCAATTTAACCAAAATCATTATTTAATAACACAAAATTTTATTTACTTATAATTCACGAGTCACAGCAGTCACGTAGTGACTGCAAGGTTGCTAATTAATTAATTAATTAATTTTTTCACAAGTAATAAATTTTTACCCATTTTTAGATTTTTTGCAATAAAAAAAACTTACCACCAAAGTTCAACTTGACATCAATTACAACTATAGTACATACTAATCATTAAACACTTCTATAAATTATCATTACCATAACACAACCATATATATACATATATATAGAAGTATATAACCGAATATATAACGGTAATTCCACCTGTTTCTATCTTTATTTATTTGATGACACATTCGCGCGCATTCCATTCCAATAAATAATTAAATGAATAGCTATTTATTTATTTCTTCTTTAAAATAAATATTTCTTCCCTAAATAATGAGCCAAAATAATTATTTCATTACCGGATAAAAATAATTAACTTATTAATTTTTTTCTTCTTTATAAAAGAAATATAAAAAATAGTTATTAATTTATTTATATAATAATTAATAAATATTAATGAAGAAATAATTAATTAACTTACGTAATCAATAAAAATCCAGTCATTGTAAATTAATTAGATGTTGACACTGAGAAAAATCACTTTTTATCAACCCAGCACATTTTAAATAATTTATTTAAATTATTTTTAATCACTTAAGATTATTAATTTCACTTTTGAAGATGAAGATGATGTCTAAATATTAAAGAAGAATATTATTTATTATTATTATTATTATTATTTTAAATATTTTATAGATGTTGCAAGTAAGCGGCAATGTTTTTTATGGTTATAATAATTACAGTTATGTATTGACGGAAGAAATTACCAGCCGGATGATTATTTGATGACAAAGATTGTTTGTTTATAATTAACGGTAATAATACTGATGATTAATCACTGTGAGGGTGTTATTGTTATTGCTACTGATATATTTATATTAAATATTATATATTATAAATAGTTATTTTTTTAAGAGTTTGCCAGCTGTGAGCTGGCTAAACAACTGTACAGTCAAGGCTGTTAAATGCCACTGGACACTCTAACTGGAGCTGGAAGCCGAGCAGACTCTAGCTGACTAGCTGGAGAGAGGAGAGTGCCACAGTTGAGGCTTGGCGTTCTGATGTACTGATGCTGCGGTTTGAATTTATGTGCTGCCATCTTGTGAGTAAATGAAGAAATTTTCAATTTTTTTTTGGTATTATTTATTATTATTATTATTACTATTATTATTATTATTATTATTATTATTTATTGTTAAAGAAAGAATTTCAAATTTTTAATAATGAAGAAATAATAATAATAATAATAATAATAATAATAATAATAATAATAATAATAATTATTATTATTATTATTATTATTATTATTATTATTATTATTATTATTATT